AGAGAGAGAGAGAGAGAGAGAGAGAGAGAGAGAGAGAGAGAGAGAGAATTAAAAAAGTTATAGCGCCCGTATTCATTCCTCGACCGTTTCAAGGGTGGAATTTCTACATCCGGCGAATCTCTGCGAATTTCAGTATGTCCGCTGCATCGACGTGCACCGCATTGCGTGCGAGCATTTGCTCATCTTTAAATAAAAAAAGAAAACAATGTTGGTCGTAAGAGGATTTTTTCTGAATCAAAAATAAATTTGTCGTCGTACATTAAGCGACTTTGAAACGGCTTCGACGACACCTAAACTATTGAGAATGAAATTTGAAAAATCCCCATCGACCTCTTTCGATTCTAATGCGTTCAGTTTCGACATACTTTCCAAAACGAATCCATTGCTAGATTAAAGTGGATCATCCTGCATATCCAAATAGGTCATACTACACACCAACGTTTTCCAAACTGTTTCAATCACTGCACACTCCTCATCGCGTATTCCAAATAAACGAGCTATCGAATTGCTCTTACACGTATGCATAAATGACCAAAATTATGATTCGACAAATTTGATATATAAGTCGAGAAAAAAATTGTAAACACTGGCATTTAGCTGTTCAAGATGTATATGACTCTTTAACATGCGGGCAAAATTCGGTTGCATCGATCGCGCTACTTGTAACCCGCTCTGAAACTCGAGGACCCACGAAGAACCGCAGATTACCGCTCGTTTTGCTTGGAAGTCGTTTTTCCAGTCCGATTAAAATATTCAGCTGGTCGTTGTTCGACCAACCATGCGAAAAAGCGAATCAGGAGTTTGTACGACGGATCAAAGAAGAAAGCGTCTACGATTACATAAACACGTTTTACAATAGAATCGTCATGTTACATAAAAGAGATGCAATGATATTACATCAATCTTCGGGCTTCCGCAACGGCGATTTTATTCTTGAGGAGGGGCTTCCAGGTTAAGCTTAATTGAATTCAAGTAATAAATAACAATTGAAAACACTGGACAAGGATTTGCTCTTGACGTTAATACAATTAAATACTTGTTAAGATCAGATTCGATGTGCACCTGTGCAAAATGAAATAAAAGTGTTGTTATAATAATTGTAGAATATATTCAATATATATTATGTATATGTTATTCAAGTTTTCTATATTATTGTACATTATAAATAAGTAAAATCCGCGGTTTATTTATAATTTATGAGTTATTCTAAATTCATATCCATGTAACAAATTTGCTTATCTCTGGTTAAGAAGTTCACGTGCTTCAGTCGGCGTAGTCAATAAAACATTGAACTTTATTTATGCGTAGAAATGCGAGACCAGACATCAGCCCGAGTATCGCAAGTTCAGCGTGGATCCGCAGATAACATCTATCGAAGTGCTTCAAAGTATACTTATCAAAGCATTCGACATCAAGGGGTGAGATAATAACTTTATTAAAATTGAGTGATCCTCGAGTGCGTGTACTACATCAGCAAACATCGAACGTCGCTTCGTATTCGTTTGATTTGGGAATGTAGCGATTACCATTTATCTGTAAAACTTTTTCAATTTTTCATTCAGCTAAATTAAAATAACGAACAAGCGATGATCATGAACGCGACGAAACTCGTGGCCAAAGAAAATGTTTCTTCTGCAAACGAAAATCGAAGAAAACGTTTTCGTCGAGCACTGTCTATCTTTAAACGTTTATTAATAGCTGTGCAATAATATTGCCACTGGAAACGAACGATGGAATATTCAGCGTGCAGTAAAATACGCGATACAACCAAGACAGGGAGCGATTCTATTGTACTAAAATATATTCAAAATATCGAATTCGTTTGTAACGGTATTTAAGAGTAATGCAACGATGGAAAAAATTTGTATCCAGATACAAATTTTAAATATCGATTAATAGATAGACGATTCTCTGTCCGTTATTTAATTATCAACAGAAATTATAAAAATAAAAATTACACAATTCTTTGTTTAGTTTTAGAGTAATATGGTCTGATTTCAAGATATTGATATCTCTTTTAAATAAACGATCCTCTAAACGTTTTATGTAACTTAATCTAATACCATGGTTCACAGGGAATTTACCGTTTCGTATCGGGCAATAGACGACTATGGATCGGAAACATATTTATTTCTACTTTCCGACTGGGACCTAGATGCAGCATTTATTAGGTAAACATTCGATAAATTATTGACGGGTAAAGTCACTCTGAACATTTACTTTTACGTTTCAACCAATACATCTTGGTCCTCTTCAGAAATGATGTATAAGATTAATCTAAAACAATATTCAGATATAATATTAAAAAGAATATAGAAAACGATAGATGTACGTGATAAAAGATTATAGGAATGAAGTATGATTAAATAAAATACTATAAGTGTATACAAAAATGTTTTACCATTCCTCGTTCTTCTGTGAAAACAATTTCTACTTATCAAAAAATTGTTACCTAATACTTGAAGAGGACCCAAATTTTTCTTATTCTTTTGCTTGTTCAAATCTCTAAACATGTTAATTTGTTGCATAAAGCACGTTTCAAAGAAAACACAAAAAAACACAACTGAATATACTAAATAGTATTTGTAATTGGGCTAAATTTGCCTTGCAGTAATTGTGACAATTCTTCGTACCTAAAATGAACCACAGGTACGTGAATGTAGAGACTAAATGCAAATAGAAAGAGAATATTAACATATTTCATGAAACGAATGAAAGTAAAGATGTAGATAGTTAAAAATAACAACTGAGAAAAATGTTTAATGAGAATATTATCTATCGAAAGGTGATAAGCATGCTAGTACCTCGATAACGGACAACATGATTTTGAAGCATTGACCGATAAACGGGTTGTTCTAGCGCTTCCGAGCCGTATCTGTACCTTCAGGTCAACCTGAAACCTTTTGGAGAAACCGGCGACTGTGAATGTTACTGGGAGCAGAATGCGCAGGAAGTATCGACGCGACAAGAAACCGGGTTTCCGTACAGGACGTCCAAGTTACCTGGCCTCATCATGAATAAGGCGAGTACTGTTACTTTCTCGGTTTACTTGCAATCGTCTCTCATATTACGCAACTACTCCTCTTCTTCGTCGCCTTCTCTAACGTTGTAAACTCTCCCGAACCGAGTACAAAGTTTAGACACACTTGAGCTAGTGGCCGCAAGATTGGAATATTTACACAAGCTGTGTAACAACTTCAATTCCCACGACCTTGAAACAGTTTACAAAGGTTATAAATTAGAGTGGTTTTTTCAGATGGAGAGGACGCTTAGCATAGTTCAGCGTGCTCTGGGTAACTTGGGCGAGGAATCATCCCATCAACAAAGCGCTCAACCACCACGATTACCACTGTCAGACGCAGAGTTCCGACGATTTATGGATCCCATCGGACAAGTAATACACCCTAAGGAATTAAGGGCTGTTATATATTTTGGCGGTATCGAGCCAAGTTTGCGTAAGGTGGTCTGGAAACACATTCTGAATGTATACCCTGAAGGTATGTCGGGTCGCGAGAGGATGGACTACATGAAGAAGAAGTCGCAAGAGTATCAAAATCTTCGCGAAAGATGGAAAACGCTTGTACAAAAGGGACAGAACGTCGGTGATCTGGGATATGTAACGGGCATGGTGCGAAAAGACGTTTTGAGAACGGACAGGCATCACAAGTTTTACGGAGGCTCCGATGATAATCAGAATACAGCTAGTTTGTTTAATATACTGACAACGTATGCCCTGAATCACCCTAGTGTCAGCTATTGTCAGGGTATGAGCGATCTAGCCTCGCCGCTTCTAGTTATTATGAGGGATGAAGCGCAGGCGTACATATGCTTGTGCGCACTTATGAGAAGATTAAAGGATAACTTTATGCTCGATGGGATAGCAATGACTACTAAATTTGCCCATCTAGCGGAAGGTACGTGACTAATATAGCTTTAAATGTCGGGAAATCATTATTTATAAATAATATTGTGATTCAGATTCTCTAGAAAATATTCTCAAACATCATATATTTAAGCTTTCAGAGTATTGAATACTTTAGCCAGCAATAAAATTATTTCAATACGTTATCATCTCGTATTGAGCAGTAAATAATTACATAAAATGTGAATAACTAAATATCGTGGAATTTATAATAACGTATCTATTATAAAATATCGGCGTAATTTAACACTCATGACATATTTTACCAGGTTTGCAGCATTATGATCCTGATTTCTACGCTTATCTAAAATCACATCAAGCGGATGATCTGTTGTTTTGTTATCGATGGCTTTTATTAGAAATGAAACGAGAATTTGCTTTGGATGATGCTTTAAGGATGCTCGAAGTTCTGTGGGCCGCATTACCAGCGTCACCACCAAATGGAGAACTTAGCCTCGCTGAGGTACCTTTTCCTCCACCTTCGCCACCTCCAAGCCCAAACGTAAAACATATTCGTGAAAATGCGTACACGAAGGTTTGTGCTATTAGGCGACAAAGTTCTTCCGCTAGTATTGCAGCCACTGGGAAGAGAAAAAATTTAAATATCGAGGAACCATCCGTACAATCTTCCGCAGAAACTAATGGAGATTCTAAGAGGTACCTCTCGACGCAATGGAAATATTAAAACAGAAATGATAATATAAAATGAAAATTACTATTTGCAGATCGAGCTCTCCTTTTGAAACATTCTCTGAGCCAGAAAATGATCTAACAACAGCGAAGAATCGAAGAAACACAGAATCCACGGAAAAGTGCCTAAGTACAGGTTCTCTGCCTGGTAAATCTAAACGTGTAAATTTACTGGAATTGAAAGACAGATTATCGTTACCTAATAAAGATCAATATAAATCTAACGAACAGAACGACAATGAAAAAAAGTGCGTTCGCATGGTAAAAAACCTAAATGAATTTCTCAATTTTACGAGTCTCAATCGCAGTAAAGTAACACCAAGCGATACGGAACCAGAATTGAGGTTAGTTTATAAGAATATGTTCTTTTCCTATTTCTGTAACTTTCATAGTTAGGGGAACTAAATTTCTAATTCAAAATGAATTCATCTTCAGGCGAGTTTTGAGCGAAAGCGGGGTTATTAGAGTGTTACGAGATGAACCAAGTTCTCCGGACGATCCGACAGATTTCTTTCCAATGACCACTTCAATGACTAGAGAATTAAGACTGGAGCTAGAATCACTTGACCGACAAGTCTTCGGACCATCGCCTCCTAGCGATCAGCAATGCGATTGCGTTCTTTCTAAAAGGGAAAGTGAACTAATCGAAAGCGAAACAGATACAGAATTAGCAAGATGTAGTCCAGCTGCAGATGTGTTTGTTTGGGAAAATCCTCTACATACGCTACAACAGAAAAATCATCCAGCTACTCCCGATGAGCAAGCAGAACTCGAATATGATGGTGAAATATTGGAAGATCAAAATGGCGTCAAATCTGTTACCCCCATTAGACTACTAAAACGTACAACTAGGTAAGATTTATTTTTTTTAAACCTGCAAAAGTTATGTAGTTTGAAATAAAATTAATAGGTTCATTAATAGGTCTAATAATAAATCATATAGATCTGAATCCGCATCGGATAGCGAAGAAACGAAAAGTTGGCATCAAAATGCGGCGATACCCGAAAGTCCAACTAAACAACCAGTGCAAGAACACTGTGAAGAAGCTACAGAACTTATGAATCTTATTCCAGCGGGTACTAGTGAAGATCAACTAGGAGAAAGTTCTCTACCCCCGCCTAACGAATTCGGTGGTGGTAATCCATTCCTTATGTTCCTGTGTATTACTCTTTTACTTCAACATAGAGACTTTGTTATGCGTAATCAAATGGATTACAATGAAATGGCCATGCATTTCGATAAAATGGTCCGTCGTCACAACGTTATTCGAGTGCTCAATCAGGCAAGGCAGCTGTTTGCCGGTTACCTCAGACGGCATTCTACATCGTCGTCAGCCACAAAGTCTGACTCCGTAAACGTATAACCTTGTAATGCCTGAATGTAATTACTGATACCTTCTAATATGAAACGCGGAATTAGCGACTTTAAAATACAATTTACTGATCAAGACAAATCATGAATAAATAAGTCTAAAATATGTTTTCTAAATCGGAAAATATCGAAATGCATCTATATAATGAAAAAAATATCAGATAAAATACGTATCAGTGATAAACTAGGCAATAAGAGAATAAAAAAAACCTATCCAAGGTGCTCTTCCGAGTTTACGTTTATGAAAAAATATTCATTCTTCTTTCAACCATTTTAAATATATACTTCCTTATTTAAGTTTATATCATGAGAATTCGTAATACCAGTTGAACATTTAAAATTTAACAATAGCAATTTTTATAATATTTATTTAAATGTCTCTGTTTCTACTGTCTGTTGATCAGTTATCTTTTAATAAAAGTTTATTTTCTGAGAAAAAATAAATTTTTAGCAGAAAAGGGTTTACCCTCCCGGCGTGCACACACATGCAAATATAAATGCCTATATACACAAATCTAATTAACTACAATTTCGTAGCACTCGTTAATATCCGTTCAAAAATACTTTCACCACTCGCATAGATCCAAATTTATGGAATTGATTCAACGCGAAATTTTCTTTAAGATTCAATATATGAAATATACAATACATCTTAAAATGTAAACTGTAAAAACGTACTTAAAATGTGCGAATGGCACATCGTTAGTTCCATTCATTGACCTATGACACCATTCCTCGCACTATGCACAATATCATTTGCACCGCGTCGACGAACCCTTTCCGCTGTACCTCGATTTAGAATTAAGTAAATAGCATAAATTTGTAAAATATCTATGATTACCTTAGCAGCCGTGTCTTACTTTGTTCTCAAACAGTATGCTTGAGAAACGACAATAAAATGCATTTAATTTTATCGCTAATAGTTGGAGTATTGATTTATTATCCTTACGTGTTTAGATTATAAGTTTTATTTACAGTAGATTTTCGATATAATATCTCAGACGGGGACTATAAGCGTAGGAAATCATCGAGAGTTTCTTATATTTTTAATACAAAAACTATATTTAATTCTTATATTTTATTTTATATAAACAAATAATTTACATCATATCATCTATTAACATAGAATACATTATTACCATGAAACTTATTTATTTATCATATTGTTACATCGCCTTTTTCACGCATGATGTGAACTAAAACTACGATTTTGTATAATCTTCATCGAAACAAAAATTTGTAATCTTACTGTCGTCTATTGTTTCCTCTACCCGCCAATATTGAAAGGATTCTGACAAAGATATTCAACGTATCCAAATAGACAGAAATTGCACTGAAATTAAAAACATATAAATATGTTAAATTGTCTGGTTAGTTATGCCAAAATGTTACACAATTTCGACAAATTACTTACTTATTGATTGGATCATAAGGCCTGAGGTCGAGTCCATATTGTGGATGTAATTCTGCTTGTTTGACAATTCTTTGTGTATCATACAAAAGGAACATAGAAAATAGTAGCAAACCACCATACAGAGCCATAGAATGTAAACCAGATCCAAGGACTGTGGTAGGTGGTAAGAACATTGATCCCACAGAACTTGCAAATACAACTCCCAAGCCAATTGCTAATGGACCTCCCATTTTCAAGAATTTCTCATTTGGTGCACAGACAGCTATTGTTGACAAACCACCAACTACACCAGCAGTATACCATGCAGCTCTAAGTACTAAAGGACCTCCTAATAAGTACAAAGGTGCAAGAACTGCACCAACAATACCAGTGTGAATGAGCCATGCCACTTGTTTTGTACCAAAACCTTCTTTGTAAGGAATAACCTGTAGTGCCATTCCACTACCAACCATTGCTACCATTGTTGCACCTAAAGCTAGCCACCCTTGTCGCATTACCATATTCATTATAGCTGGGGAACGTAAACAAATAGCTGCAGATGCAGCACTAGCTGCTACAGATGCACCAAAATACATGTATGTAGTTTTAATCCTATCTCTCACATATTGGGGCCAAACTCTGAAAAAAATTATATATTCTATTAGGTTTTGTTTCAATTTACAATACCAATAATACATTTAGTCTTATGATATTATTTGATGAGAAACATACTTTGCGTATTCTATGGCTCCTGCAGATGGTGAAAGACCTAATCCATAATAGCAGAGTGCACCTAATCCTAATACAGCACCACCAGCAACAGCACCCTTTCCAATATTAAATGCTACAAATGTAAAAGTAATTTTTTTTTTTACATTTCTATTTAATAAAAGCATTAATTTCTTGCATTATACATAGAATTAGATTATTCACATTATCCATTATAAATTAGAAGAAAAGAACAACTTTGGTTAAAAAAGTAGTAGAAATTTCGTTGAATGGAATAATTCTAAATTTAACATTTTACCTGTCTCTCCAGCAGGAGACATCGCCTGCTCTGTAATCGTGGATGTTCTTGATCTGCGAGCAGATCTTGTGAATGCACTACGTCCATCGTTAGCGAATAATCTCGAAGCCTGAATCCTTGGAATAAACGGTTTCGAAATAACCGGAGTTTTCAAAAAATTGGCCAAAGCTGGCGAGGCACCACATCGACAAGCTTTTGCAAGCAACATCTTCACCGTTCGATATTCTTCAGCTTATTAGAATCTGTTAACAAGAAAGTAACATTCATTCGGTAGTCGTTAAGACAAATCTATCACTTAATAATTTTGAATTATACACGAGTTACAAATGCATTGAAGTAGTCTTGAGGATTCAAGAAATCTACACGTTCGATAAGATTTATTCGAAATACCAAATTAGTTTTTGCAAAAATTTTCGTGATTACTCACATGACGCAATAACGCTGCAATTGTTTTTCTCGAGCGATCGAAACTAATACTAACCCTACTTGCAGACTTGCTTCACGTCAATCGTCAAGTTCATACGCATGCGTTCTTCTAGAAAAATGCATATATATATATATATACTGTCGCATCGACATTAGCGCCATCTTATTTATAAAACTACTGCCATCTTGAATTGGTAAAACAGTTTTACTTATCTGATAACAAGAGACAAATGTACTTGCTTGAGCTTCTTAAATTATTGTACAATACCTTTATGTAATCTGTTTTTAGACTTCAAATAATTAGGAATAGAAGAAGAGCTATTAGATCAATTTTCTACTGATAGTTCTACATCTTTGTTATATGCAATAACAGCCAGAAAAGTAAAATATAGAATTTGAAGTGATTAGATAGCCATTTTATTAAGAGCTAAGTTTTAAAATAATTTATGAAATTTAATGTTCATGATTTTATACATTTGAAATGCGCGGTTACAACCTTATGTTGTGACATCCGGAACTCTTACTCACTTCGTTTCGTGTTTCTTCCTACGCTACCAAATCATTTCGTTCCGTGTCTATTACTATGAAACAAACCATTCATTATAATAACCTGTATTCTAATTTCCCCTGACGAATTTCTCTGTGTTGTTAAATTTATTAATTCATGCTTAGAAACATTAATATCAATCTCTTTTATAAACATTTTTTGGTTAAACGTGGCAACGTTGCATTTGTATGCGTCAACCAATCAGGAGAAAGTCATCGCTAATCGCTCTAACCAATCGTAGCTTCGAAAGATTTACCGGATGTGACGGCAGGTAGTGGGGATAGTTCCTCTAGTAGATCTGTTTCGCGGCTTCGTTCATCGTTCTCTTCGTTGTCGGACGCCATAGTGAACGCCTCGTTTTAGAGGACGCTCGAGAGCAACTTAGGCGCGTTGTCTACATAGAATTTGTGGTCTCGTTACGCTGAACATAGAAACCAGCGTAAGATCATTTTAAGCAAACGATGGCGGGAGCCGATTCACCAAGTGTGAAGCCAGAACAACAAAACGCAGCCGTAGAAAATAGCAACGAAAATGCACGGGAACGTAATCCACCGGGAGGCGGTAATCGTGGTCCGCGTGGTCGAAAAGGCGGCACACGCTTTTCTGGCGGACGTGGAGGTGGAATGGGAGGAGGAAACAGAAATAACGATGGACCGGTAAGAAACTTTTCCTATTCTATCGAGAAATAACTTGCGACACTTTTCGGCGTTCTTTGTTCTTGTCCGCCATGTTTGCTGTAAACTGATGCGTAATACTTGTACCGGTTTTAAGGATTTACTTTTTACTCATCTTTTTCCCAGCAAAGATAATTTCTAATATTCTTATGACGCGGACTACCGCACGTTTTCAATATTGTTCTTCGAGAGAAGCGTAGATGTAGAATTTGTTCTCGATGGACGTTTTATCTTATTACAAGTGTATTCTGATTTATAATCCTTATTTTAATTTTATTTTGGGGAGTATATAATAAACATTTACTTTATCGTTAATATTGGGGAATTTATGTGGAAGGTCGACGTTTATTATTAGAACTTTTAGATACGCTATTTTAAAGTATTAAGCATCGATTTATTTGCATTATATATCAATTGGTTTAATATATGTTCTATCACGAAAAAGAAGATAATTTTTTAGTACAAATTCACAGGTTCACGTAAGTTTTAAAAACTTGTACATGCATACATATTTTATTTTAAAACGAACCGCGTTTCGTTTACTCGTCTGAAAACAATTCTAGTAAGTATATCGATTTCCCGCACAAAGTATTACAAAATGGCGCATAGTGGAAATAAGATGGCGAATGTTTCTTAAACATGCGAACACGTGGCGTTCAAAATACTTCACTTAATAAAATTATTATATAAAATAAAAATTATCAATCATAAGTGTTCATTATTTGATAAAAGATATAACCATATTATTTTTATAAACTCTACAACCTTATTAATTCATATTAGGGAACTTAATAATTATAAATTATTGTACAATAATGATGCAAGTAATTGTAATGAATATAAATACTGCTTACCCCAATGCCACGCTTGTTTGATGTACTTAAATAATCAACAAGTGCCAGTTATTATAATTGGGGGAAAGAAAATTTATTCCTAATGGAAGCATGGTGCAATATCATTTGTACTGTGTGCCGAAAATGGGAATACAAACTTCTATCACAACTTTTATTAATCTTGCACTTAGACTAATCATACTTTGTACTTGGAAGCAATTCATGTTCAATGTAAACAGTATTTTGTTATCTAAAAGCAAGATTTTTTTTCTGCAAATTGTATGTTTTTAGATTAATAAAAACAAACATAAATATTATTACAGATGAAGATGAGCGATTCCATGGATGGTGGAATGGATAACACCATGTCTGAAGGAATGGGTGGTGGCGGTATGGGAGGAGGAATGGGCGGTATGGGACGCGGTGGCGGTATGCGAGGTAGAGGTGGCCGAGGAGGTGGCGATAGAAATATGGGAAATCGTTCTCAAGATGTAAGCAACTTCGTCTGCTAGAGATGTTTAAATTACATCTATTCTATCTTAAATGGAAAAAAACGGGTTACGTATATTTTTAATTAATATTTTTGTAACTAGGATCGTTTAATGGAACGAATCATGGGTATTAGTGGACCTACTCATGAATTGCCAGCTCAAGAAACTACAGAAAAGAAGTTCAGCGGTCGAAATCGGTTATACATCGGAAATTTGACCAATGATGTTACAGAAGAAGAAATTCAACAAATGTTTCAACAATATGGAGAAATATCTGAACTTTTTGTCAACAAGGAAAAGAATTTCGCATTTCTCAGAATGGTAAATTGAAATACAGTATTTAATTCTAATATTCCATTTATATTACAAAAAAAAAAAATGATTAAAAAAATTACCGTTTGATAAATAATGATAATAATCAATTGGCTGCAATTTTATAATTGTTATGATAAATTGTTACATATATGTATAATAATATAATATCGAGTTAAATTTCACCAAGTTTCTTATTTCCTAGGATTTCAGAGTA